AATTAAACCTGAAGTTAACCTGAATTAAACTTGAAGTTAACTTGAATTAAACCTGAAGTTAACTTGAATTAAACCTGAAGTTAACTTGAATTAAACCTGAAGTTAACCTGAATTAAACTTGAAGTTAACCTGAATTAAACTTGAAGTTAACCTGAATTAAACCTAATAGCCACAAATCCTGCTTTGTAGATCAGAGCTCTGCAGCATCACTGTGATAAAAACAATAACAAAACTGTGATACTGTAACAGTGAACCTCTAAGGGTGTGGCTCTTCACTGTACTGACTGTGTGTGTATGTGTGTGTATATATATGTGTGTGTGAGTGTGGGTGTGTTAATTGTGACAAAAATGTGCAGAATGCGTTGACTGAGCTCACAGACAAGATTTTACATGTTACAGCACAAAACACAGAATTCAGCTCACACATGAACCCCCTCAACACACACACACACACACACACCTTGGCCTAATTCTTCTGCAGTAAATCCTCATGTTTGTTCAAGTTGACAGTCGTGGCCATGGGCTCCGTGTTTCCTTCCTTCTTCTTCTCTGTGATGCCTCAAGGACGTTTCGTCACATTAATTCTGACTAGAACAGATCAGATTCAGGAGGTGAAGGTTACTGATCTAATGTGCTGCTTGATTTGAGGACTCAATGACATGTTAGAAGGTCAAAGGTCATCATCATTTGCGGCTACTGTCCGTTATTTCACGTCGTAACACAGGAGGAATCAATCAATCAATTATTAAATAACATTTTATTTGTATACCTGCCACCTCGATCATGGTCAACCACCACTATCCACAATCAGCTGACAACACGAGTAGGAGAAAACAGATATTCAGCAGGTTCACTGTGTTCAGATGTCATGTTTCTGATGAAACTGTGATGAAGAGGAAACACTTTTCTGTCAGAACTGGTTACCACTCCTTCACCTTTTCACTAACAAGCAGGACGGGGCTGCAGTGAGACGCAAAACAAGTCCAGCAGGTCTCCGTCTTTTCCTCTGTCTTCACTCTCTCCATTCAGCTGATCTCACAGATTCAGCTTCACGTCGACTCTGGATTCACTGCTCAGGTTACAAGTCCTCACCAACAACATCCAACTCACCGTTTTAATGTTGATGGAAAAATCCTGAATCATTCACACCTGAAACTATCAATTCAGTTTAAAAAAGTGAAAAAGAATAAATGATTAACAGTTATTGACACATTTATTTATAAACAGATATTTTCTGTCGTCGTCCTGATAACTCGTCAGGTCATGATTCCGACAGAGATAAACAGAGAGTTGTCAGAGACCAGATGTTCTAACAGAAACTCAAACTGACCGACCTCACAATCTGTTGGCTAATTAATCAATCAATCAATTGCATTTTATTAGTATAGTCTCATATTCACAAATCCCAATTTGTCTCATCGATGATGAAGCAATCGTCATGATCCACTGACACTGTTGGGGATTCACCGTCGTAATCTACCATCAGCTGCCACCTTGATCATCAACCTGTTAGTTAATTCATCTGTTAGTAACTCAACCTGTTCATTAATTAACCTGTTCATTAATCAAACTGTTAATTAATTAACCAGTTAGTAAATTAACCTGTTAGTTAATGAACCTGTGGTCTGTCTCTGCAGAGCCGGTGTCTGACGTCATCATTAAGTCAAACTTGCCCGAGGCCGTCGAACACAACAGCACTGTAGTCCTCACCTGCTCGGCTCAGGGCTCCTTCCTCAGCTTTACCTGGATCAATGGCTCCACCCCCATCGTCGCTGATAGCAAACGACTCACGCTTAAAAACGTCAGTTTTTTTAACATCTCATCTTTTTATGTATTTACTGTAAAAACTGGACTTGTTTGTTTCACTTTACAGTAACATGGATGTGTGATCATAGACATTTGTGGTGACTGATGCCTTCTTTACATTGATGATGTCACAGGAGGAGACGACCAGCACGCTGACCATTGCAGGTGTTCTCAGGTCGGATCTGATTGGTCCAATCTTCTGCACTGCTGCTAACAAACTGGAGACAGAGAAAAGCCCCGCCTTCAACCTTACAGTCCACTGTGAGTACAGCACCACTGCACCATGACTCCTCCCACACAGGAAGTGACACACCAGCCTGTACCTGTTTAGCATTAGGCAGCATTAGCCGCCATGACTCAGCAAACAATATTCACCTACAGATCACACACCTGATGTTTAGGTCATGTGATGTTGTGGTCCTGTGATGTTGCGGTTATGTGAAAAGAGGAGCTTCAGTGATGGACAATCTGAGGAACAACTCTAATTAAAATGATCAACATGACTATGAGTGTGTCACGGTGACTCATTCACATCCCACCAGGCCCTGGTTCAGTCTCTGGGTCAGGTTTCTGAAGCCCTCAGGTGAGAGTAATGAGCTTCGTCTTGTTTCCAGGTGACTCATGGCGTTAAGATGGTGGCGTGTGTTTACAGGACGCTCCCCCTCCACTAAAACCACAGTGTATAAACAGCAGCTCTTTCCTCATGACTAAGCTCAGAGTGAAACCACACGACCGCTGCTTCAACTGTTACTGATTAATCTGCTTCAACAATCAACTCACTGTATTAAGGATGAATATAAATGTTTCAATTATGAGTAAAATAAAAATTATATAAAACAATCATTTTTATATGCAGTCACTGATGGCCTTCATATACAGTTTTTATATATATATACACTTATTGTCTGTATATGCTGTTTGTCCACAGATGGTCCAGACAATGTGATCATCTCTCCTGCCACACCGCCTCAGTTCATCAGGGCGGGCTCTAACTTCAGTCTGGCGTGCTCTGCCCTCTCGTCTCCACCTGCCACCTTCAGCTGGTTCCAGAACCAAAAGGCGCTGGAGGTTTCGGGACCCGTTCTCTCTCTGGAGGCGATTGAAAAGCTGGGCTCAGTGAAGAAGGATAACTACACCTGCAGGGCACAGAATTCCAAGACCCAGCGCAGTGTCCCGTCTCCCGCTGTGTCCTTTGCTGTGATGAGTGAGTGACGCCTGCCACCAAGCTTTTTGAGAAATACTCAGACGGCATGTTCAAAAAGGGTCAGATTATTAAACATCAGAAAATTATCACTATGACAGAAAGTTAAATTAAATTGAATTGGTCTGAGGTTTTCACACCAAAACATATAATTTATCATATAAACAATTTATTTATATTCATATATTTATGTATTTTTTGACTTAAATTCTTACCAGATAAATAATTTACATGTGTGAGTATAAATATAAACAGAACAATTGTTTACATGTGTAAATATAATCATAAATAGATCAATAGTTTATATGTGTATATATATATATAATTAACAAACAGATAGTTAAGTTAACTGACTCTGACTTTGTTTTAAATGATAATACCAGTTCACCACACAGACATGTACAACTGAAACTAACACTGACTGAAACCTCTTCCTCCCTTGAGGCACGACACTGTTAAGTTTCTGTGTTATCTCGTCGTAGAGAGTGGGGGAGGGGAAGAGTTTGTATGAAATAGAAAGTCTTTCGACATTCAGTAATTTCCTGGAGGATTTTCAAATGTTTCGTGTCTCCAAAATCTGTACCACCTTAGCTGAAAGGTTCTGTAGGTTAATAAACCAAAATAATTGATAAAAGTACTGAAACTTTTCGAAATTAAATAAATAAAAAAACCTGACTTAACCAATAGCATATAATACACATTGGTCCTGGAGATTCTAAAGTTTTGTAACAACAATGTCCTGTTTGGGGCTGTTTCTAGGTGTTTTATCTTAATTCAGTTTTATTTTCCCACTCTGTTCACAGAGGCCATCTCTGGCACTAAAATCACCGGTCCGACCGGGACACTCATCGCTGGCAACAGCACAGCCAACCTGAGCTGCCAGGCAATGGCCGGCACTGTGAAGACCACGACCTGGCTGAAAGACGGCAAACCTGTGTCCACCAGCTCCCGCCTGGTGTTCGCAGCTGACATGAGCTCCATGATGATCAACCTGCTGCAGAAAGAGGACAGCGGACAGTACACGTGTCAGCTCACCAACGCTGTCAACACTGACCAAGCCTCGTTCAAGGTGGAGGTCAACTGTGAGTAAAAAGCCTTAACCCCTAACCCAACAACAGGAACATGTGAGGAACATTCAGGTGAGGGGTGGAGCCTGTAGAGCAGCAGGATGCGGGACATGACGTCTAAACTCTGCTGTGGAAAGATCAGTGTTGTTGTTTACAGCTCGTCCACACGGCATCGGCCCTCATCACCAAAACATCTGGAATCTCCTCGTCTTTCCAAGTGGACGTCTTTGTCTTCTACGTGTTTGGCTCCTCTTCTTCATCCTGAGACATTTGTGTTCTTCAGTTTCATGTTCGTCACGTGTTAGAAACCTCAGAGATACGTTTCCATGTTCATGTTTGAAAACAGATTAACAGACCTGTGATCAGATCAGATAAGTGTTCTATAAAGAGAAAAACAACTTTTCTTTTAAACTTTTCTTAAGCTGCAGATTTATCAACATGATCTAGAAATAATTTCCTGAACATCCTCTGAACCACATGACTAAAATCTCCTAATACAAGATTCTGATGAGGTTTTTAAATTTATGATTACTAAAGCTTAATTTATGAACTCGTTTTACTCTTTTCTCCAGCTTGCTGCCTTTATGCTAAGCTAAGCTAACAACATACAAACAGTAATTCACAGTGATGTAATATTTTTTTAAAGCCATACAACATAGCAATGTCTTTATTTGCTCCATGTCCAGATGGTCCTGAACCAGCGATGGTGAAAGGCGAAGAGGCTGTGGAGGTGAAAGACACTGTTACTCTCACTTGCTCTGCAATGTCCTACCCAACTGCCAACTTCACCTGGAAGTTTAATGGCACAGCGACCGAAGTGAAAACTGCACAGTACATCATCGGGGAGGCCTCATACAAGAACACTGGAACGTACACATGTGAGGCACACAACGCTGTCACCGGGAAGACCGTCACATATAGCCACAAGCTGTCCGTCAAAGGTGAGAGCTCTTTAGGAATGCAGCAACGCACGTCTTTATTTTAGATTTAACATAAAAGAACCATTTGTCTTGTATCTAATCCTCTGTCTGTATTGTTGTTGTAGAGGAGGGAGCGTTGGATGAAGGTCTCTCAGATGGCGCCATCGCTGGAATCATCATCGGCGTCCTTGTCGGTCTTGCTGCCGCGATTGGATTGATCATATACTGTCGACAGAAAGTTCCGTAAGTAATCTGATACTCTGATACTCTGATACTGGACCGTGTGTCCATTTACTTTTGGCTCAGATGATAAAGTTGGTCTTTTCGTGTTTTTATTAGTCTGAACAATCTTTACTTTGCTTTGTGTGTGTGTGTTTCTCAGTCACTTCATGACCTTTATTTCTTTCCTTATGCTTGGTAATCTGTGTTAAGCTAATATAAACACACACACACACACACACACACACACACACACTCATGCACACACTAATTCCTGGATTTTGATTGGCTGTTGTGTCTCTGCGGTTCAGGTCATATCTCTGTTTGTCAGTGTAGGAATGTGAACATGTTAGTCTGTTTGAAATCCGAGGTTAATGTTTTAAAGAACATAAAATGGATTTTGACGTTGGAGTTTTTTCTTAGCAGTCCCATTCAGATGTTAACATTAGTCTCTGTTTAAGAGATTGTGTTGTTTCATAAAAACATTGTGAGGGTGTCAGTTTGTTAGTCAGAGGTGGTGTTCAGCTGCAGAGGGCCTCTCTCGGGCCCTGGGGCCTCTTTCGGGCCCTGGGGCCTCAGACAGACTTGTCTGTTTTATTTTTCACACCATGATCTGGAGTTTGAATGAAATTGAAAAACAAACTTCCAGTTTAGAGTCTCGTTTAAAGTTTCTGTTGCTATGACGACGTCAGACTCATCGTCACAGATCAGGAGTCGTGTGTGTGTTTACTTTTGTCTTTGTGTGTTTTTATTCATCTAGACGATGCTTCACATTTTTATACTTTTCTTTAATTTATTGCTGTTTGGAAACGCTGCTGAGCTTGTTTCGGTTTTAAACCTCATCACTGTTGCTATGGTTACACCTGGTGTTCTCCAGCCTCTGAATTAGAGACTTGTGTAAACTGGTCTCATTTTAGTTTGAAAACTCTGGTTTTGTGTTTTAGTCTGAACAGAAACTGAGACTTTAGTGTGACGACGCCTGGTCATGTGATGTGTGTGTTCAAGTGGATATTTAGTTTCCTGATCAAATCAGGAGCAAACATGAACTTCAAACACAATCTGAAGGTGTTTTTTCAAAAAATAAATATTCTCCTGAACCGGTTTAACTCAGGTACAATAACACGAACACACACACACACACACACACACACACACACACACACACACACACCCTCCCCCAGTTGTTCATGGCCTTCAGTCTCTGGTATTTTGAAAACAGTCTGATTGCGCGCGTGTGTGTGTGTGTGTGTGTGTGTGTGTGTGTGTTGGGTTTTAAAAGTCTCACATTGAATTCACTGATATTTACTGACTATGTCTGCGTTTGTTTTGTAGTTGGATGAATGGACTCTTATTTTGAAATAATAGTTGAATGCTGGGAAATGTTTGAGTGATGTCATTGGTGTTTGATTGGTTCATGTGAAACTGATCGATCATTAATCAATCATCAAACCCCAGAATGATGAACATCCTGCTCTCCAGGCTGTGTCAGGAAACAACTCGTTAGTAGATATGTTCACTAACGTCCTCAGATTTTATTTTGTTGATGATCATGAAATCTATAAATCAGCTGATAAATGTTTTCAGCTGATTTATAGATACATTTGCTAACTTTTACGAAACATTAAACCAGGGTTAGTAGAGTTAGATATTATGAATGATTTTTAAATGTTGTATTATAGAGATAGATTATATAAATGATTAATAAATGGTATAGATTTAGATTTTACAAATGTTATTATACATTGAGATTGTAATGGGGTTAGGGTTAGGTTTAAAATGATTTTTAAATGTTGTATTAGAGAGTTAGATTATATAAATTAGTAATTGTATAAATGGTTTATAAATGTTTTAATAATGGAGTTAGAATTTGTAAATTAATAAATGTTGTTTTCATACATTTAAAGTTAAATGTGTTCTTTGGCGTTTTTCTCATGAGGGCGCGGCCTGACTTTCAGAGAATTGCAGGAATGACACTGTCGTGTCTGTACTCGTCTTCTTCAGCTCACGTTTCTGTCGCTCCACACTACGTTTTCTTCTTCTTCTCATTTTGTAAGTGTGGTTTTCTCTGATTTAGAAGCAGAAGTGGAATCTTTTCAACCCTGTGACAGATTGATGTCTTCACATTTTGTTCTGTATTTATCTGCTTCATTGTCACAGTTTGTTTCTGCAGCTGCAGATAATGTGTCATCAGCTGATTCTTTGCTCTTTGATAAGTCATTTGTCATCAGTCTCATGGTGCCTGCTTTATTTTTCAGGGTTGAATCTCCGTATTAAAGATGCAGATGCAGGCTGAAGGTAAGACTCTCTCACACGTCATGTGTCTGTGAGGATCTGATACGATGATAATGAAGATGATGATGAAGGGTTAAAGTTAAAGACACTACAAACAGAAAACAATCAGCTACTGATAATTTATCATATAAATACCAGTTTAATCTAAAGACGTAACAATATTTGTGTTTCATCACAAAATAAAGAAGATTTGTTATTGTACATTTATGAATCTTCATGGTAGAATTTCTCACACAGGTCAAAAGTTACAACTTTAAAATGTATTAATTTTTTTTTTAACAATACATTTGTTTTTTAAAAATCATGATTTAAAAAACAATCTCCCAGCAGTAATATGTTACGTTATGCTACATTTTGTATTGGTATGTTACTTTACCTCACATTACTTTAAGTTTTGTTACTTTATTTCATGTTATGGTACGTGACTTTACGTCACATTCTATTACATAATTTCTTACTTTGATTTACGTTAATTTACATTACGTGTCATTATGTAAATTTTATCTTAGTCATCTTCTTTTTCTTCTTCCACTTTGGTGGAAGTTTAGTGTTGAAGAGCCAAGTTTGAAGAGTGTTTTTATACTATCTTCTTTATTTCTGAATGTATGATCATTGTGTGTAGTATTTACATACTGGTTACAAACTGATAGTGTAGTTTTTCTGTGTATTCTCCGTGTGTCATCGTGTCAGGCTGGTGCCTCAGCTCAGCTACCCGGTGGAGCAGGTGCTGTTGGCTGTGGGAGAGCAGATCAGACACACATCTCTTATTCTTCCGGCATGAATAAAGCTCTGGTGGTTTTCTTCAAAGATCAGAACTGTGGCTCAGCTCATCGAATGCGGGTTAACCGTAGAGGATGAGTCCCTTCAGGTTTCCCCGCTGGCCGTGCCCTCTACCCAGATCACCGTGTCCTCTGTCCATCCATTCATTATCAATGAAGCTTTGGAGCGAGAGCTGAGGCGCTTTGGGAAGTTTGCAAGTGTTTTCTGCTTGGTTGGTCTGGGATGTAAAGACATGAAGCTGAAACATTTCCAGTCTCTGCGGAGGCAAGTCTTTATGTTTCTGGACTCTCTGTCTCAAACACCGGACGCGTCCTTTCCTGTTCGACATGAGGAATAGTTTTATGTAGCGTACGTGACCTCTGGAAGCATAAAGTGTTTTCAATGTGGACACATGGGTCACAAAAGAGTTGTGTGTCCGTATGGACAGTGTGTTGTGGGACACACTAGGGCCACTTCTGTGGGGGCTGAGGTGCAGCCGAGTACTGTTCGAGATAAAATACGAGCATTGTTGGCCAGAAACTGTGTTAAGGGAGGAGAAGTGGTGGTTAAAATGAGCAGAGAGCAGGTGTATGCTGGTACAGCAGGACAAGTGAAGGCTTATATACTGCAGGTGAAGGTTGTTAACATGGAGCAGACAGTGTCACTCAAAGTACAGAATTATATTCTCTGAAAGAGGTAAATGATTTCCTCCATGATTCATACTTCCCTAATGTTCAGAAGTCCATTCAGACAGTGAGCCCCCTGCAGGAGGTTGTAGGGACAGAACTCCTGGAAGAGACTGGCTAAGGAAACTTTTGACTGCTGTGAGGAAAGGTCTAAAATGTGCAAAACAAACTAAGAAAATGTGTAAATAGGGTTAGGGTTAGGGTTAGGGTTAACCATGATCATACAACACTGGGTGTCTACCTGACTGTGGTTTTACCCTGAGGTCCTTCCTCTCCACAAATAACATGGGGGGTTTCAGGGCTGTGCTCTCTCTGATGTGTCTGTGTATGGAATCACTGATTCATTATACGTTTACATGGAAATATTTATTTAGGTTGTGTTATTAATGAATAAAATGTTAATAAATAAAGTTGTTTGAAAGACAAAGTCTCCTCCCTCTTTGTTTACTTTTATATTTTCAAGTCAGTAACATTTTCTTCTTCTTTCAGATTCGGCCACAAACATCTGATCATTTTGTTTCCCATGATCCACCTGTGCAGCTGGGAGGCGTGTCCTCATAGACCCAGCCGGTTTCCTGTGAAGTTCCCGTCAAACCAGTTTTCCCATCACCCTCCTCTTACCCTCTGTTGTCGACAGTAAAAACTTGACCTTTTATTTTAATGTTTTGTTAAAACTCAGTCGATGATTCTGTGTTTGAATCTTCACTGTTAATTATATGTTTTTTACCTTCACCTTCATCACAAATATCACTCGATCATCACCCCTCCCCCACCTTGTCTGGTTCAGCGCCTCCTTCAGGAAACTGAAACACAGACAGAGACGTTCCCTTTGGCGCACACACAAACACAGGCACGCATGCACCCACACACACACACTGTCAGGCCACACACAGACATTCTGTGGTTTGATTTATCACTATCACTGATCTCTAGTTTTCTAACTCACTCCTTCGTTCCAAACTTGTCAACAATTTAGTTTTTTCAAAACAAACCAACCTTTATGAACACATCATTCTTGTCTCCTCTTGTTCATAAACATCTCATGAAAAAAACATTGGCATCAAATATATTCAGACCGTGGCATCAATAATTAATAATGATAAACAAGATATCCTAATACGAGATAATAACCAATGATAATGAAAATTTTTTTTTGATTAAAAAAGACTATGACATAAAAATATCATGACAAAAACAGATAAATAATAATAAACTGATATTTACTGATGAAATTATGTAAAAGATTCATAATTAATAATATCATACAATTAATTTTGAAATGTCAGTTATGTCATTAATATTATTATTTAAAACAAAAACGTTTTTGAAAATAAATATATAACAATATTATCATGAAAATATTTCACTCGACTTCTGAGCAGAAAGAACATTTTTGAAGTTCATATTATCATGATAATATTGTACGTGAAGATTTGATGACATTGTCATGTCTCCTCACTAAACAGTTAAAAGTAAAAAAGCAGAACAACAGAAGAATTTTATTTAATTCATTTTATAAAGACACAGCAGAAGAGAAACAAACTGTAAAAAAAACCAGTTAAAAGTAAGTGAAAATGACTTCATTAAATAAAGAGGCGTGTCTCTCGCTGATCTCTCAACTGTGACTCTGGTTTAATTCATCTCGATGGTTCAGCATCGTCTTCACTTTTTGAATCATCGGTGGAGATGAGCTTGGACGTGCACTGACAAGTCAGCAACATGAAGATGAAGAAAACCAAAGAAAAAAGGCGGGAAGGTGTGAGTGGGCGGTGACATTGTCTGAGCTTTGAAAGTGAAGTTTTGTTGGTGCTTTTATAAAAAACTTTAGTTTGATGTAAAAAGTTTTAAACTGAATGAAATTATTTCACTCGACTTCTGAGCAGAAAGAAAATGTTTGAAGTTCAGGTTTTATTGTATTTGCTGAGTTTTCTGTATCAAACCTAATAATTTTGGTTTTGAGCTGATGATTTTATCATTTGTGATTTCAGACTTGAACGTGCACTGATCTCCAGTCATAAAAGTATTTATTTTGTTTAGTTCAAATCAAAAAACATAGAACCTGGAGCTGAAGATCGTAACAAGTCAGAATGTTCACAAACTCATTGTATTTTCACTTTTCACGCTGCAATATCTTTGAAAAGGTTTTAAAATGTTACATGGAGCAGAAAGTGATGTCCTAACAACACAGGCTGCAGTGACTCAGTCAACCTTAAAGAGAAGCAACGCTCGTTGTCAATCATCAGATGAAATTAATGAGGGCTGAGATCTATTTTGCTTCAGGTCGTTTGTTAAGATTAATTTGATCAGTGACACGTTTCGTGCTGTGACACTGCATGAGATGTTATTGATTGTTCATGGAATATTTTTTTGGTTTTGTTGATGTTTACAGGGTCTGACAAAATATATTGTAAAAAAAATAACATAAAGGTTGGAAATATTTTCCTAATTTTATTTTGTCTTGTTTTTATTTGTTTTACACAGAAGCTTCAGTTTGACCGATCAGAGCCTGTATATTTTCAAACCAGCCAATCACAGAGAAGAGATTGACTTGTGTGTTTATGTGTGTGAGAAGAGGATGTGGTAGCTGAAAGAAAAATCCCTCGTCACACACACACACACACACATTATTTTCATCTAAGATGAAAACAAAGACCAATGAGGGCACAGCGACATGTGTGTTTATCCAATCAGATGCAGGAGGAGGAGTCAGAGTCATCGGTCTGGTTTTGCAGGTTGATGTCATGACAACCAACGGGGAGTCATTTATTAAGTCAAAGTCAAACACCAACGAAACCTGAAATTAGTGGGAAATTCCTCCCCCACTGGTCTGTGTGTGTGTGTGTGTGTGTGCTGGAACAGGTAGAGCTGACAGGACTGAACACGCCCACAGCATTTAGTCAGGAATGTTTGTTTCCTCTGAGTCGTTGTCTCTTCCTTTGTTTTTCTTCTTATTTGAAATCAGTGAGTAACCTTTGATGAATCATCTGATCAAAATATAATTTTTTAATCTTCACAATTATTTTCACTGAACACATTTTATAGAAAATCTTCTCACTGTAAAGTTTGATTTTCAGGATGTAATAATCTTACAACTGGTCCTGAAGTGATGGGTTAGGGTAGAGGAACTGAATCTGTCTCCTATTAAAGGTGGTGGGAGTTACTCTGTCCTTCCTCAAGGATGACGCTCCCTGGTCCCAGTTATGATGAGAGGGGCGGCCTTGTCGCCTCCTGTTTCGTACAGTGGCCCATTCCCTACCGTCTTTATTGAAGTCACCCATTTTGGGGTTAGGGGGTTAGGGGGTTAGGGTTAGGGTTAGGGGNAGTGTTGTAATATACATTAATATGTAATATTGTTTTATAGTTCAATTGCTGTGGAGTTATCATCCAATGCTTTTGCTGTTGTATTTTTGGGAAAAAAACTGACACCACCCTCATAAGGGAGTGAACCTACAAACTGTAAAGTGATTCAGCAGCTAAAATAGAATGGAGGCGGCACCAGTGCATTGGTTTTAGCCCTGTCGCCTGGTTTTAATCCTGATTTGGCCAGGCCCTTTCTTTGTGGGGGTTTCCATGTTCTCCTCATGTCTATGAGGATTTTCTTTATGTACCCTGACTTCATCCTCCTGTCTAAAGATTGCAGTTGGAGGTTAGGTTAATAGGTGATTCTAAAATGACTATAGCAGTCAATGTGAGTGTGAATGAGTGTGAATGGCTGTTTATCACTGTGTCAGCCTTGTAATACGCCAGCAACCTGACCAGGGGGAACCTCATCTCTTCTCAACCTGGGACTGGCGCCAGCCCCCAACAACCCTTAACAGGATAGATGATATAGATAATGGATGGATGGACAGAAAAGACTAATGGTTCTTTTTTTGTATGCTACTCTAACATTTGACTCATCATTTCAAGGCAGTTCTTCAGTTGGAGTATTCCAAATTGAAATTTCTTAAATGCATGCTAATTTCATCCCTTACCAAACACTGTACAATAATCCTAGAGACACACGGTTCCTCCCTAATTTAGTTTCAGAATGACTTTAAATTAGTTTCATTATTAAGGACTTGACATTTACCAGATAGTTTTTCCACTGTTTAAACCACTTTAATGCCTCACAAAGGCACGTACTGTACAATGTGCACCCTGACTGCACATACTGTACCATGGCAGCCACAAAGGAAATGCATCAGGCGAGGAGATGAAAAAGAATACTCAGTACAAGACACCCCGCATTCAGACCGTGGCTGAGGTTAGAGAACATAGTGCACAGACATCACAGCAAATCTTAAGTTTAATGATGGAAAACATGTCAGACAAAAAGCCAACAACCCGTGCACACTCACTGCTCGACTAAAAACTAATTTGGAAAGTGCAGAGAAAAGTGGATTTCCTCGAATATTTGATGTCCTGAAAAGCTACTGTTTAAAAGAAATCTATTGCCACAGTCATTTCTGACTCATGCTCCCAATCAGAATAATCGACTGATTGTTTCTCAGGTGCATGAGGATGTGTGTGTTTGTATGCACATGTTTGAACAGTATTTCATGTGTGTGTGTGTGTGTGTGTGTGTGTGTGTGTGTCCTGGGGTGGGCGAGTGGGGGTCTGAATGTCACTCTTTGACAGTGCAGCCTGGATCTAGAAAGGATTTAGTGGTTTTGATCCACAGTGTGAGTGACTGTCGGGCACACAGACAGGACAGAGGGTGTAACTGCCCTCAAACCCCAAACTAATCTACTCATGGAGTTATCTCCCTCCTAAAGGAGCTTACAGAGCCACTGTCTACCCCAGGGGGCACCCCAGATGTACAGTAGACTCCACACACACCGACACACTCATGCCACTCCTTCTTGTAATTATACGATGATATAATTTCTATGCAACTTGACCAAAAATAGTGTGATGTGTAGGAGAGGAGCTACCACAATCACAACAAAAACAGTATATTCGTTTATGGGAGAATATCTGATTCTGTTTTCTGTCCCTGGGTAGGCGAGGGGTACCAAGGGAAATCTACAGACGTTCAGCTTATCCCGTGTAAATGTATTATCTCGTGCAGATGTTGTAAAGTTATTCCAACTGTTACTCATCCTCCACAATGCCTGCACATCCACCCACCCCCCCTCCCCAGTGCAGGATACTTAATACATTGTGGACTCACGGACAGATGATCCCTAAATAAATGTACTGTCCTACTTCACATGCTGGGATGGTGGTAATGCAATAAGCCTGTGTAAGTAGAGGGTGCACTGATCCCAATTCAGCTCGTTCACTATGTTAACAAGAGGGGGACTAAAGATCACGCACTCTGGTAATGGATTTGAATAAATCTATAGATAAGAATTTTCAAACTCTGTGAGACTTTGAAAAGTACGTACTTTTTTGAGATATCTGAGAATCTTCAAACCTTTCAGCTGGTAGAACAACTTAGCCTTTTGGGAAATACACACTCAGTTTCTTGCCTAGTGTTGGATTGAATAAAAA